TGTATCTATTTTATAAAAAAATAAAGTTTAATATCAATTATATGACTTTTGAAAGTTTAATATCTAAAATATTATCTTAACATACTTTAGTAACCATTTAAAAAATATTTCTTACAAAATTAATGGATTAATCATGGAGCGGTCCTTGAATTATTTAATATTTACTTGATAAGGACAATTTAATTATTGATATGTTTTAGTATTTTATATTAATGTTGTATTTTGATGTACAACGTGTACAGACATACAGTATACTCTTCTTTAATTTATATTTTTTAATTAAATGATTCAATTCAATTGATGACTCTAAAATCACATCGATTTAATTTTCAATCTATTTTTTATTTTTTTATTATTTAAAAAATACTTTTAAAAAAAATAGTGAGCATTCATGGGAGTAAGTTGAGCCTAAATAAAACAACCAGTCAGAAATACCGAATTGGCCCAAAACTGGTACTCCCGCTATACTTCCTTTCAATTATCCCAATCCAAATACGGCGTGAGCGTTGCGTCTTGATTCAGAACGTAGACTTAACAATATTTTGTAGGATATTAAGTATTTAGTTATTTAATTATTATTTCGGTTACATTTTGGTTATCTCATTATTATTGAGGTGATATTTTTTTAATTCAATGATGGTTGATATTATCTTATGATGATACGTTAACATCACTGTTAAATTTATAACGAAGGACGATCAAAGCATAACATTAGTGTTGATTTCGAAGAAAAATAGTTAGTTAGGTGACCAAAATGATATTGTACAAACAGTTCGGTGACTAAAATGCGTAGTTTACCCTATTTTATATTTGGGAAAGACGTTGGGTTGTTCTGCTCTTATTGGTACGTCTCTGCAAATATAATAAATTGCTTTTGTTCATGCAACTATTATGAAGGTGGCTTTAAGCCACTTTTGTCTTAAGAATTGATAAGCCCAGTTCAGCTACTGTTGCCATCAATACCTCACCTAATTGGAAATTGCTACCAAAAAACAATAGGTGCTCTGCTTTCTTCTTTTTCTTCGCAGGGTACACAAATTGACAACTCACTTCAACACCATACATACTACAAATAATCTAATAATGTTTTGATGGTTTTTTAAAATACCTTTTTGACGTGTTTGATATTTATTATAAAGAAAGTATAAATTATTGCATTTTCTTACATTTTTCACAATAATATATATAGGGGCAGAATCCGTTTACATTATGTAAAATTAATAAGCTTTACATTAATTTATAATCATTGGATTTAAATAAGTAAATGACTTAAATTTAATTAAAATTTATTATTCATATATAAATATATTTTAACTTACAGTAAAACGATATCCTTTTTTACCTCAAATCCAAATTCTAAACCCTAAATGTTAAATCCTAAACTCAAATTCTAAATTAAATCTTTAATTATAAACGCTAAACTCTAATTCTTAAACCATATCCCTAATAAAAAAAATTATTTACTGTGAGTTAAAATATATTTATTTATAAGTAATAAATTTTAATTATATGTAAACTATTTATTTATTTAAATTTTGTGTCATTTAAGTTTATATATATATATTATATATTTATATATATATATCTATATATATATATATATATATATATGATATCATTATATTATACATATATTTTTTTCTTGTCAGTGTTTTACTATTTAGAGTTAGTTGAGATATGGGATCCGCGTAAAAGACAAATAATTCATCAAAGCATTGATTGTTTGACTTAGGGGTTGTTTGTTTACTGTTGAATGGAACCATTCAGCGTTGAACGTTGAATGTTGAACCATTCAGCGTTGAACGCTGAACCGTTCAACGCTGAACACTGAACCGTTCAGCATTCAGCGTGTTTTATTTTCACCTCTAAATGAAAACTATGCTGAATGATTCAGCATTAAATTACATTCTGAATGATTCATAACCATTATCAAACAGCATGTCATATTCAGAGTTAATTCATACAGAGTCTTTGAATCATTCAGGTCATTGAATTATTCAGCGCTTAATCATTTGATTTAATCAAACAACCCTTTAGTTTATTACAAAACTTACAAATTTAATATTAATTACAAATTGTTTTAATGGATGAAACATTTATTCTCTTAAATTTAAATTAGGAGGGTTAATATAATAAAAGATTTTTTTATTTAATCTAAATTAATATATCAATTAATTAAACGCTGATAATTATAATAAAAATCTAAAAGACTTTTTTATATTTAATCTAAATTAATATATTAATGAATTGAATACTGATAATTAGGAAAGTACAGGTCTTGTACAGTCAAAGGCAAATCAAAAAAGTTTATTGAATTCAATCAAGTCAGGTAATCCACCACCAAGAGAAGATAATGACCGTTGGATGAATTCTTTTCATTATCTTCATACCACTTTACCCTAACCTAAAGATGATAATCATATACATATGTATTCCGGAAGCAGAAAAGAAACCTTTTAAATATTAATCCGCAACAGATGTTTCAACAATACAAAGATGGTTTCCAAATGGAACAAAAAAGGATCAAACTTTATCGACAAGGGACTTTCAAAATTTTGAACGCATCGATGACATGCAGATTAGGGTTAAAGCAAGTCCAGGTGCCAAGTTCGTGCATGAACTCCTGTTCCATGAAAGCAACTAACTCTGTACCTCCATTGGCAGTCACACGTGCGGAGCCAGCGAGGAAATATCTGAGCACAGGAAATTGTTTTACAATGTTGATGGTGGTGAACGATGATGAAATCCAATCATGAAGTAATTTTGTTTATTCCGATGATGATCATAGTGGGCGCCAAAAGGAACTTGTATGTATATGTATAGTAAATGTTATCATTTAGGGTGTGATTAGTGTGTGTTTTAAAAGTTTGATGCTTTTTGATTTTCTATTCGTCCAAACAGTACGCCGAGAAATAGACATCCAGGGAGAAGGAGAAGCTTTGTATGCAAATGCTGGTAGATATATATGTTAGGTAATGGTGTTGGGACACTTGGAGCAATCGGAGTCTCACACAGTTTCACGCGTGATAAGTCAAAAAAGATTGTATCTTGATAGAACGCAATAACCAAGCTTTTGCATTTACATCATATGTTTAAATATTTCAGAGTTTTTGCATTATTTCTAGATCCGTTTATGATATTTTGGTGGCCCTCGGGCGAATTAAAAGATTAGCCCCCAAATTATAAATTTAAAATAGAATTTGTATTTGTGTCTTCATCCACGTAGCGTTTATTGTTATTGAGAACATAACGAATAATATTACAGTAATAGCAAGTATTGTGGTTATGAATTTTTTAATAACATATGTAATTGTGGATATTGTAATTTCAAACAATATCGTTATCACTGCATAACGATCATTGTTATGGTTATAGACGTTTATTTAAGTAATTATTCCTAATAACAAGTGTGAAAAAAATAAAGGTAACTCCATAATAAGTATTGAAAAAAACAAGTCCCTAATAACTAATATTAAAGAAAGTAAAATTTAAGACTGTGTTCATTATAAAAAATACTAGAAAAATGGACATCTAATAAAAAATATTGAAAATTCGGACTAGTAATAATAAATAAATATTATAAAATAAATTGATTTCTAAAAGTATGTCATTCATGATAAATATCGAAAAAAATGGCCCCCTAATAATAAATATTAAAAAAATTAGACATTTAATAATAAATATTAGAAAAATATTAGTAAAAAATTGGAGACTTGTAAAATATTAGAAAATAACTAAATTATAAGAGAAGTACCCTAATAATAAATATTAGAAAAAAATTAAATCTATAATAATAAATATTAAAAAATCAAACCATCTATAACAAGTATTAAAAATAATTGGACCCTATATTTGATATAAAAATATTTTTTTACAAGTATAATATATAATTAAAATTAGGCACATGTCCAGGCCCAAATACAACCCTAATTATTTCAAATTTATTATTTTAATTTTATATATTATTTTTATTCGACAAAATTGAACAGATATTGGTAGAAAGATCAAAAAATTAAATTAATGATAATAAAAAAACTCCATATATTAAAATTAAAATATGAGACTAAATTTTAAAATAGCATACAAACCTTTAACATATTTAAATCTAGATATGATCTTTCGATACTAGGAAACAAAAAACAAAGCAAAAGTTCAATGGAAAATGAAAGCGATAACGGATTTTTAAGGATCTCGTATGACAAATCATTGAACCCAATAGTGCAGGTTAAATATTGCTGCGGAAAAAAAAAAGAGAAACTCATGCATGTAGTATAATCTGCACCTGTCTAAAGCCGGGGAGCTTTGAAACTCCGTACAGTAAAAAATGTTCATACTATACCTTTATTGGTATAATCCTTACTTTTTTGAATTTATTAATTAATTCATCTATATCGTGTATTATAGAGGTATTATGGAGGCGACTATCTCAATCAAGTTTTATTCATTCATAAATCAATATTAAAAATTCTAACTTTTACTTGAGGGATCTAGTGTCACATCCACCATATCAAATAATTATCGAGAAGTTGATACTATATTTGATGTGATATAATTGGATATCAATAAATATACTTTGTTATATATGAAAAAACTAACTATATCCGATTTTTTTACGACAAAATGTTAAAACATAAGTTTACTTTTCTTTTTCAAAAAAAAAGTAACATCAAGTTCTAAGCAATAAAATATTACACAAATTATAATTAAATAAATATTGCTCTAAGACATTTGATTTTAACTTTGTCCTTATAATTTTTTTTATTTATTTTCATTTTATACCAAATAGATATAGGTAATATATCCATTTATACCGTACGAAATTTATTATTTTTTTTAAAAGAAAAGTATAATCATTACATGAATATAAATAAATGATTATGATTAAAAATTTAATATTTAATTTTCCGTCGGAATGGGAAAAAATTAGTAAGTGGATCTTTAATCGCATGAAGATATTTGAGAGAAACGAAAGGGACCTATTCATTTTTCATGCAAAAGCAATGGGTTTCCTTCCCCTATATAAACCTGACGACCTTGATTTTTTCAATGTATTTTCAATAATATTTCCAACCCTAAAGTTTTATGAGTTTGTCTCTTACATAAAATATTACGTCCATCTTGGTTTCGATCTTATCGATATACTCCAAAAACAGCTTATCATTTTTTCAATGTTTGTAGGTAACATTTCATCCTTCGCGGTATTCCTAGCTCCATTGTAAGTATATTACAAGGTTTCATCTGGTTTCTGCTATACTACAAAGACAAAGAATAACGTAGTGAGTGATATTGTTGATTTTCAGACCGACTTTCATCCGAATTTGCAAGAAGAAATCAACAGAAGGTTTCCAATCAATCCCATACGTGGTTTCACTCTTCAGTGCCATGCTTTGGATTTACTATGCCTTTGTCAAATCTGGAGCTTTCCTTCTCATCACCATTAACTCCTTCGGCTGTGTCGCGGAGACCATTTACATTGCCATCTATATTGCTTATGCACCAAAGCAATCCAGGGTATTTACTCTCTCCTTTTTTCCACATCAATTTTAAAGCTAATGAAGTGATTCGAATTTGCATTAATCTGTAAAAATTAACTGCATGCAGATGTATACATTGAGGATGCTTCTATTGCTGGACTGCGGGGCATTTTTTTCGATTCTTCTTCTCATACAATTCCTAACAAAAGGATCGAATCGAGTCGAATTTCTCGGATGGATCTGTGTCGTATTTTCTATAAGTGTGTTTGCAGCACCTCTTAGCATCATGGTAATGATACATAATATTATAATTCTTCACTATCTCATATTATATATTTGAAATCGAACATAGATACATATTATATGTAATGTCCTTTGTTTAATATTCTGCAGAGGCAAGTCATAATCACCAAAAGTGTGGAGTTCATGCCATTTCATTTATCTTTGATGCTCACCTTTAGTGCTATCGCGTGGCTTTTATATGGCATCTTCCTTAAGGATTTGCATATTGCGGTGAGTGATAATCTCCTAAATATCATGTAATGCATATATAATATATATTATATCAGATGCAGAACTTAGACAAAATATTCTTTTAATAGTCCGAGGTGATTACAATATATAGTATTTGTTTAGTATTTTTTTAATCTATTGACAACACACATTCTCCATTCATTCACAACTACTTAAATCGGAGTCTTGTTTTTGGTGCTGACAGATCCCAAATGTTCTGGGGCTGGTCTTTGGGATACTTCAGATGGTGCTGTATGCAATATACAGGAAATACAAGACAGTGGTAATCGAGGAGGTTAAGGTACCGCAACATACGATCGATGTGACAAAATTGGATGCGGCTGTGGATTTTGATGTCGAGGAAATCAGTTCATCAGAGCGGCGGATCCATGATCATCATCATCATGAAACGATTGTAAACAGCTGTAAATTACAAAATCAATCTCATGATGATGATGATGATCAAAGGGATCAGAAAATCTTGGAGTTGCCTAACTCAAACCAGATGCTGGGAACATGTGAAGCTTGAACTGATCTCCATTGATGGTGATCACATGCATGCATGCATGCATGAAGTTCTCTCCCTCTTTCTCTCTTAATTTCTAGGCTGCTCTATGCTACTGTTTTATATATATAACATTTATGTATGGGTCAATATTTTATGCTTATTGTATATAGTTTCTAGTGTTTTATTATATATATGTAAGTTGAATTGAGGGAGCTAAATGATTCTAATCATGGATATATACACCTCATGCTATACTTCCATGTAATAAGGTATACACCTAATTATTTACTTTAATGTATATTATTTTTGGTAAATTTATATTTTAGATGGTTTTTTATTTTTTTAATAGAAACCGCTAATCTTATTAAAAATTAAAAAGTATCCAAAATTACGATAATGATTTACAACTATCATCGTAAATTAAATACATAATTTAGACAGTTTCCTATAATATTAAAACCAGCCAATTTAATTCATACAAAGGATCTTACATAGAAAATATTAAAAATCCAACCAAAAGACTCAAACGAAAATAGAAATGAATAAATCCGATTGTATTGGTAAACGAACCACAAATGGGAAGCTATTGAAAGACCACTGAGAACCATAAATCAAAGTCAATCATGAGAAACTATCCACGAATGCAAATCGAGTATCACAAAATGCGTAATCTTGATCAATTGTGTATCATCAAATCTAACCCTGAGAAAATATAAAATGAAAAGAACATATAAACAATCGAAAAAGAAGATGAAAACGTGCCACAAAGACATAATTATTCTTATTAAAAAATAAAATAAAAATTAAAAAAGAGAACAAATGGTCGGCAATCGGCATCAAAACCGATCTCACCGTCGACTAAAAAAAATTGATCTAACCTATGTATAGAAAGTGACACAAACTCTAAAAATAAAATATCAATTTCACACTTATTTACTTTCTAAATTTTTAAATATGATGGTTTTTATTATATATATATATATAATCAAATTATTACACATTGTAAAATTTATATCAAAAGTTTTCAAAACAATATTTGGTGTTAAACATTGTAATTATATAACTGTTTATCAAAGCATATTACAAATTGACAATTATTATGTAAAATGGATCCATCTTGGGCCACGCAGCCATCCGATTTTTTCCTTTCTAAAACTCCTCGTTCAAGTACAATGGTTTTGTAAAAACATTAACATATCCCAATTGGTTACTCAAAGTTTATGGTGCTATCAATTTAGTCACCCAACAAACCATTTATAAATTCAGTTTAATTGTAGAGATTTGGTATGTATGAATCAAGCTCTAAACAAACCTTTTTTTGTAATTCTGATAAATGTACCTAATATTATTATTCAATTATAACTTTCATTTAAATATACTTATAAAAAGTAATAAAGATATTTTTAAAAAATTAGTTATTTGTAAATTCTGATGAATTTGACTTATAAGTTCATGCTAAAAATGGTATTAAGAGAATTTTTCAAAAATAAATATTTATGGAATTTAGAAGTCAGAGACTCCAAACTATTTATTATTAATAAAACAGTTTTAAGATCACCAAATAAAACGAGTCCAAACAAATCCCCTCCGCTAATTTTAAGTTTGACTTTAACACATAACAACAAAATAATAAAATCTTCATCAATTACATTCCATAAGTAGATCATAATTCATAATTCACATTAGGGGTGGTTATCGTGCGATTCGATCGCGAATTGGACAATGCTCGACTGGTGTTCGTTAAAAAATTTTGTTGCTCGACTCGACTCGTTGCTTGTTAAAATTTTGCTCGAGTCGTGCTCGTTAAAAAACGTGTTGCTCGACTTGTTCTCGTTAAGCTCGTTGCTCATTAAGCCCATTGCTCAATTTGTTGCTCGATAAGTTCATTGGAATTTTTATCTTATTTTTTTACTATAGGTAAAATCTACTAATACTATAACTTAATAGATTAGTCATTTATCATGTTTTTATTATCTATTAGTAAATTAGTATTTTTTTGAATGAAATAATTTTTTAAAATAACTATTAAAAATTATTTAAAAAATGAATGAGATGCGCGTGAACTTATCGAATCGAGTTGAACTTTGCTCGACTCAACTCGTTAAGGTCTCGAGTCGATTCAAACCGAATCGAGCTTTTACGAGTTTTGACCGAGTCAAGTTCGAGCTGCTCACGAGCTGCTCAACTCATTAAGCATCCCTAATTCACATGTATATCTCAAAAATTATACATACAATTAAATAACAATTTATATTCGACATACTGAGGATTATTAAATTTAAAAATACTTTTTAAAGATTTATATAAGGTAACTCAGTAATTAATTAATTGTATATATATATATATATATGATGAGTGCTCAGAATCGTTAATCTTTGCTCGTTATTTCTTCGATTTTGTGGAATTATTGTTGCTGAATTGGTCGTGTTATGCTTGTTTTTGTGTAGGTCCTTATTTTCCAGAATTAGTGACAAAACAGGCGCATTCTGTATTTTTTTATTACTTGGTCATGGCTGGAGACATGGCCACGATGCGGTCTGGCGTGGAGGTTTCTAGAAGGTCCAATTAGCGACAGTTTCTAGAAGACTTTCTCCGCACGCCTTTGGATGATGGACGAGCAGAGTTGCATTAGGAGACTAGTTTTAAGTTTGAATTTAAATTAAACAATTATCTTTAGGATTATTTTATTTTATTCTCTTTGTTTATCCTTAGGCTTTGAGAGGCTATAAATACCCACTTGGGGTAAGCCTAAACTCATCACTCAAATTACAATCTTCTTTTCTCTCTAGTTTTATTAAAAGATTTATCATTTTACTTTTCAAGTTCTTTTTCATTTTTCTTTTATTTTCAAGTTTTGTTTTAAATATGCTAAGTAAGACTTTTTTCATACTTAGCTAAATTTTCCATAAGTCGAGAGCTGATGCGATGACTCAATTCCAACGGGAGAATTGAAACAAACCCTTAATATCTTCGAAATATCTCTCTCAATCTCTGCGCTTATTTTTCAAAATCAAAGATTGACTTTGGTCAAGAGGTTGTTGCGATTAAATGTGTGGGAGGAAGATTCAGCTTATAGAAAGCACATCCGACTTCTTGGGAACACACTTGGCGAGATAACTTCGCCAAGAGAGATTTGAGATCGGAATTGACGGTTATGAAAGCAACAATCTGAGTCGGTCACCACGAACTTAAATGGTAATTGATCTACGACAATTGATGTTGATAGAATCAATTTTCGAAGCCGAAATCAAAGATTGCCTTGAGTATTCAGTATACAAGATAGAGTCACGAGGATAGCCCTTGTAGACAAAATAACCGACGTGAATCCCGGAGGGAAAATCTTATTCGATGATCTAAAGGAAATTGAGTCAAAGCGAAGCTTGAGGCTATTTTTACTATTTATTCATAATCTTTACCCTCTTATTTTTACTTTAATTTATTTTATTTATTTAATCATTTTTTACTATTTAAATCTCATATTATAAAACCCTTTTTTACTATTTTCGCCTGGTTAGAATCATTCAAACATAAAATTGTGATTTTCTAAGTCCTTGAGGATTCGACCCTTATTTCTCTATACTACGTATTTCTTTATTTATTAATTGAGAAAAAAAATTATTTGACATCCAAAACGACAGTTGTCAAATTGACGCCGTTGCTGGGGACTTCGCCAAAGTTACTAATTTTTTGTTTGCTTTTGATTTATGACCAGGACTAATCCGGGCGCATTAGTGGAGTACGACCAGAGATCGAAGCCAAAGGTAGGAGACTCTACGCACAGACGCTTCGGGAAAGAAAGAGACAACAATTAAATCCATAAGAAGAATCAAATTCAGGTGAATCTGTTAATACAATTCCGATGGACGAACAAGGGCCTATGTACATTGATTTTCCCCAAGGCGAAACTCCATACCAGTTAAAAACTGACCTTATTCATCTCCTCCCTACATTCTGCGGATTGCCCAACGAGAATCCACATAAACATCTCATGGAATTTCATATGGTATGTACCAGCATCATGCCACAGGGAGTAACCGAGGACCAAATAAAACTTAGAGTTTTTATTTTTTTCTTTAGCCAGTTCGGCTAAGGAGTAATTATTTTATCTTCCCCCTAATTCTATTACTACATTGGCTCAAATGACTCGTCTTTTTCTTGACAGGTTTTTCCCTGCGGCGAAAGTAAGTGAATACGAAGGAGAATACTTGGAATCAAGCAGCTTGATGGAGAGTCACTTTACGACTACTGGGAGCGGTTTAAGAAGTTATTTTCTAGTTGCCCACAGCATGGGTTAACTGAACAAACACTCATTCAATACTTTTATGAAGGATTGTCTCCCCTGGAAATGAAGATGATCGACGTTGCCAGCGGTGGAGCCTTGGTGAATATGACTCCTACTGAGGCTAGGGATTTAATCTCCACAATGGCCGCAAATTCCCAACAATTTTGCACAAATAATGAACCTTCTCGAAGGGTTCATGAGATAAGTTTATCTTCCTTAGAAAATAAAATAGATAAGTTAACTGAAGTCGTCAGCTCTTTTATTGCAGGAAAGACATGACAAAACTGACTATGTGGAATATGTGCATTACCTGATCATCCAACAGATGGTTGTCCACTGATTCACGATGATGCAGCAACTCAAGTCAATGCAGTCGGGAACTTTTTGGGACCTCCTCAAAGAACCTATAATCCCTACAGCAATACATACAACCCAGGATGGAGGAATCATCCGAACTTCAGTTATGCTCAGAATTTAATACCAAATTAAGGCTATCAAGCGAGACCTCCACCACCACAACAGTCGCAGAAGACATCACTAGAGTCAATTGTCGAGAGGTTAGCACTTTCCCAGGAAAAATTCCAGAATCGTACTGAAGTCCACTTACAAAAGATAGACAAGCAGATGAGTCAACTGTCTCAAACCATAGGTCGCTTGGAGTAACAAGGTAAACTTCCATCTCAAAACGAGGTTAATCCAAGGGAAAACGTAAGTGCCATCACTCTTCGAAGTGGTACAG